ATGGCAATGAAATTTCCTTTAATTTCGGTACATTATTGGTTCCAAAATTCTATAATACTATTTACTACAGGTCTTACTATATATGATGCAGAATTGACTGTTATTGATGATAATTATACCATTGACTTCAATGTAAGTACAACTGCAATTAATTGATTATTATTATTGAATAGGTTACAGCTCCATGTGATATTGCTCTATTAAACAATTACACATATACTTTACTACATAGAGATTACTGTCAGACAGAACTTAATTCATCACAACTTAATATTAGTATACCACTTGATGATAATGTTCTACCTAACACAATGATACCAATCAGTGTTAACATTGAATCATTGATTCATGATTCAACGTGGTCAGTAGCTCTTAATGTATCAAACAGGTTTGGTTCTGATGTGACAGACTATACTAACATTACAAACAATAAAAGTAATTATTATATCAAAATAATTGCTATTAATTAACTGTGAAACTATTTTTTACTCTTTACATATTAGCTAACAAAAATCAGTGTTACTCGGAGCCTATTTTATCACTTTCAACTGCAATAGTGCTTTCACAAACAGTTACTCCTTCTCTATCATCAAGTATAGGTCTAACTTCCTTATCTATTTACTGTTACAGTTTCATCTTCTTTTTAGTCTATAAATCTGGTTCTATTCAAACTTCAATGGACTGCACTGCAGTTATTATCACTAGTACAGTATACATCAGTAACATCACTACAACACCATCAAATAATGTCATTCCAATTGTTATTGGTACTACAGCAACTGTTATGATACTACTGATAGTAGTAATAATACTACTCATTTTCATGATATTTTTATGCTATAAAAGATCTGATATAGTAATTACTATTGCAATTACGATAAACATTGCGATAACATGATTTTTGTGTTTTTATTGCAGGCTGGAAATAGATGTGCTTTAAATCAGAATATCACTGTGCCACTTGAGGCCTGTCCTGCATATGATGATATTTCAAGAATAAATACTGCAAACTGTGAAGCATACGGCAAAAGAGATACATTTATAACTGCAGAATATGAAACTGTAAATGTTAATTAGCCAATTTTTAATTTGATTGTCAATAATAATTATAAAATGTACAGTTAGACTACGCCCACTAGATCTAATAGTTATTATACCGAGTTTTATTGTGAAGATTGAAGAAAGGCTGTGAAGAAACTAGAAAGACAATTATATCGTTGTTAAAGATGTCCCTTACTCCGTTACTGTCCTTATTTTTTGTCTGCTTCAGTCTCCTCTTTTATTCAGTGGATTCTTGTTCAACAGTATCTAGATCAGGTGTATCACTAACTGGAGTATGTCCTAATGATACTTTTATCATTGTACCCATTGGAGCAACACTAACTTATGAGTGCTCTTACAATAACCTTGGTAGTGGATATCGACCATATTGGAATATCAGTAGAAGTATTTACCATGATGCTTTTGGTATTGAACCACCTGTTACTAATCTAGCTGTTAGTCTCAATGAAACTGTTCTAACTATTACCACTAATAAAAATCACACAATGTTAGATATTCAATGTGGAGTGTGTCAGTACGCACTTGCAGAATGTTATTCAACAGAGTTTATTGGAACAGGATCAGTTCAACTGACTGCCTTCGGTATATAGACATTATTATTTTGGTATAATCAATAAC